ATACAACTTAATAAATTTAATTTCTTTTCCCATTTCATCTGCGATATTTCACAAAGATTATTACGTAAAGAACCCTTTTCCGCATATTGCAAAATAAGAACGTAATTTCCTGAATTATCTCTCGATAGCCCGTAGCATCTTAAGAACGATGGATTTTTATATCCGATCTCACAAAATGTTTTCAACTTTAAAAAAGAAAATATTAATATATAATTTAAACATTAAATAAACTCAATAAATTTATTTACCTCATCAAAAAAACTCTGATCATGAATCATTTTAAATGCGAACAAATAATTACGGTAGGATTCCTTATAATAAATTTCGTAATTAGCACGATAAACGGTTGCAAATCCTCCTTTTCCAATCTCTTCAATACTTCTCAATTTATCGTATGGGATCCATAATAATTGATATTTCTCATCTTCCAATACATTTTTAACGTTTTCATCGATACCAGAATAAGAGAATTTCTTTATTTCTATTTAAAATTAATATAAACATAAATAAAAGAATAACCTACAAGATCCTTACCTTGAAACTTGCTTCTTTCCCTATTTTTTAAATTATTAATATTACTTAATATTTGTTATAAGAATTAAAAAAAACATGCTTACATTTTAAACCAATATTCAGCTTCCTTTAGGTCCTTTTTTGTTCCGATTCCGTTTCGATAACAATAACCAACGAGACTCATTCCTTCGGCGTAACCCATTTTAGCTGATTTCAGATACATTTCAAAAGCTTTTTTCAAATTTATTTCAACACTGGCTCCAGATCGATAACATTCTCCAAGATTGTATGTTCCATCAGCGTCCCCCATCTCTGCAGATTTTTGATAATATTCGAATGCCTTATGTTTATCCTTTTCAACTCCAACTCCATTTTGATAAAAATAACCAAGTTTAAATATTCCACAAACATGACCCATCTCTGCGGATTTTTGAATATAATTGAATGCTTTGTTTTCATCCTTTTCAATCCCAGTTCCTTGTTCATAACAACATCCAACATTATATATTCCTTTAACGTGCCCCATCTCTGCAGATTTTTGATAATAAATAAATGCCTTATATTCATCCTTTTCAACTCCAATTTCATTTAGATAACAATATCCAACATTATATGTTCCACTAGCATTTCCCATCTTTGCAGATTTTTGATAATAAATAAATGCCTTATGATCATCTTTTTCAACTCCAATTCCATTTCGATAACAATATCCAACATTATATGTTCCACTAGCATTTCCCATCTCAGAAGATTTCTGATAATAAATGAATGCCTCATGTTTATCTTTTTCAATTCCAATTCCATTTTTATAAAAATAACCAAGTTTAAATATTCCATAAGCATCACCCATATCAGCAGAGTTTTGAATATAATTGAATGCTTTGTTTTCATCCTTTTCAACCCCAGTTCCTTGTTCATAACAGCATCCAACATTATATGTTCCTTTGGCATGTCCCATCTCTGCAGATTTTTGATAATAAATAAATGCTTTATGATCATCCTTTTCTACTCCAACTCCACCTTTATAACAGTTACCAAGAGCAAATATTCCATTAGCATTTCCCATCTCTGCAGATTTTTGATAATAAATAAATGCCTTATATTTATTCTTTTCAACTCCAATTCCATTTTCATAACAATATCCAACATCGTTAATTGCAGTTGCATATCCCATGTCTGCAGATTTTTGATAGTATTCAAAGGCTTTACGCAAGTCCTTTTCAACTCCATTACCGTACCAGTATTGCTCGCCCTTGTCATAAAGTTTTGTGCCAGTCTGGCCCATGGTTAAAACATAAGATGAAAAGATATATTTTACTTAACGTTAAAAATTAATATAGCTTATTTAATTATATGCATATTGTATGCTGAACAATGCATCCTTAATTTCTTTATTAGAATTGTTCATAATTACTGATCTTACGATAACGATAATTAAAAACTTTTTTAAGTTTATAGAAAATTAAAAATAATATTATTTGAGAATCCGAAGAAAAATTATAATTCGGGCAACGCAATATAACAAAACAGGCATTTTTGAGTAAAAACCAAACTTTATAAAGATCAAGAGTATCAATTTGATATTGTGTCGTGCAGTTACTTGGATTTACTTGGATGTATGTTTATACTTATAATTAAGGCTTAACGGTATTAAATAAATATCTGAATACATATGGAGACTTAACAGTCTTGGGTATAATTTTGAATTATAAAAGGATATTTGAAAAGGAGAATTGAAAGAAATTATTAGAAAGAAAAAGTAGAACGATAGTTAAGATGAGTGTTTCCAAGACATTTATGAAAGATATAAAAAAAGGACATGAAGTTCATAAAATTTAATTATTTAATTTTAGTAATGTCTAGTAATTACCTAGACGTAACAAAATTATTTAATACCTGTATACTGATCTTTGAATTTATCTAACACGGTTCGTAATGTTGGCCTAATATTTTGACAGTTTGAATTAATAACTAAAAATGAAGTGATGTCGGAAATATCGTTCTCATCCATTTTCTTAATTCCGTTTTATAAGTTATTTTTTTAAAAAAAAATATATAACCAAATTTGTATAACCTACGAGGCATTTGAAGGACCTTTCATACTAAATTTTTTTTTATAAACTTTATTAAAAAATTTGTTCTCGTTTACAGTGTCTTATTAGAAGTCGATAGGTTATTTAAACTTTTAATTTGCACACTTTACTCATGTTAGATAAAAAAAAAGGTAATTTATAAAATCGCAAAAAAATAAAGAATAACCAAATATGATTAAATCGGTTTATATACGTAACTTCGTAATGATAAGCCTTTTCAAATTGCTAAATACAATGATTTAAGGCATATGGTGATTGAAATCAGTGGCTTAACCTGTCACAAATCACGGACGTGCTTTTTTTTAGCTAAATAATATCGATATTCTCAGATCTTAAATTCATGCATCAGATGGCACACAGCTTAATTAGAGTTAAGGATTAAGCTATATAGATTTGGTTAATCTGCATAATTCTGGTAGGTGTAGCACTTGGGGTTCTTCATCAGCTATGATCAAAACTATATCAGGTCACCTTACCATTTTATTATCGTTATTAGATTTAAATTAATCTCACCGATTCAAGAATATATCATATAACGATAAGTATAATATAAAAATATCCCAAACTCTTTTTAGATATGTAGATCGAATTTCTTTCTTTATCAAAGTTTTCTAAAAAATAATCGTTTCTTACACGATACATTTACAAAGTTATGATGCGTTTTTTTATAAAAGGTTATAAAACATTGGCTACAAATAGATTATTTAAATATTCTTTAGTTTTCAAGGAATAATAAAAGTTTAAATTTAAGCTTTTTTATTTAATTTCGGAAATTTTTAATTTTGTTTTTTTGCCTTTTTTGGAATCGATTTTTTTACAAAGTAAATCTCTTTTTTACTCCTAATAAAAGTTGAGAGAAGAGAATTCCGAGCATATAATAGGCCAAGTGGATCGCGAGATACGAGCATTTTTGTTTTTATGATTATATATCTGTGTAAACAAAGAAGTAAACATATAGTCGCGAAGACAAAAACGTCCATATCTTATGATCCACTGGGCCGATTTTAACGTTTCGACCACTATTATGCTCAGAATTCTCTTCTCTACAACTTTATTAGAAGAGAATTTACTTAGTAGAAATCGATTTGTCTTTGGGAAAACTTCACATTTCAAAAAAGGCAAAAAACAATAGTAAATTCCCCCACGGTTTACTATGTTTTTTCACCGGTTCCCAGGAATCACGAATTAAATATAAAAAATGACTTGTAAATTTTCTCAGAGAGACTTAATATTAGTTTCGTAAAATATTACTTTGAACTACGTTAAAGTTAGAGTTGTGCATCTATTTTTGTCATTTATATATAAATTATATAGGCGTCATTTTTAACAATTACAGTCAAAATTCTCTATAATCACACTCTTGGTTTTAATAATTTGGTCATCTAGAGAGCTTGTGCCTATATAGAGGTTAAATTGTATAAATGTTATATAAGTTGGTTTTAAAAATTTACGTGATTATAAGCAAATATATTAAAATCCTTTATGCCCCATTGTTACACGAAAAACCTTTATAACAAACTTTTATATGATACCATATAAGGTTTTGATTTATTTAGTTATGAACCTCAGTGTAGCACCATTTGATGCAAAAATGCTATATCCATAGGATAAACATATACCTGCGTGCAGACAAAACCGGGGACGTGTGGATTTTGTGATTTACTGCTATTTTAAGGAATATAAACTTATAGATTTTATAAGTGTAAATTCCTTAGAAACACCTTAAATCGCAAGCTCCACACGTCCCTGGACAAAACCTTCTAAAGTACGATTTTTCATAGCACAGCTAACACTTCGGACGAGTTTACGTACGTACGGATGTGCCACGTACAGCACTATACGTACTGTATGCTACGTACTGTACGCGAAAATTTTTGCAGAGACTTTCTACCAGTCAATCAAATCGCTAGATACGTACTGTACGCGAAAAAAATTCGGGTATCATATCACTACGTACGAGTTCATTTGATTGTCGCCTTGTTTCGCTTTTAAATTAGACGCATAATGTTTCACATTTATCAAAATATTGACGCAAAAATCAAATGATAAGCTAATTCAATGATGGTATTTTCAAAGGTATTTGATATGAAAAATCCTCTATAAAAATGCCGCGATTCTCTCGTTGACCTTTGCTATTTAAAGCATCAAAAACTTACGTAAAAATGACATATAATGAAGGATATTTATACGGAGCAGGAGCTCTTAGTCGAAAATCTGATTATACGCTGTCACATAAATTTATTAAAGAATATTTACAGCTTGATGACTCATTGTTTAGTCATCCAGACAATTGCTATTATCTCTCTAATTATTGTCATATCGAAAATCGCGGTGGGCATAGATACTTGAGACCGTCCGAATGTTCGAAATTCGTATTAAAGCAAGGATATCACTTATTTTATGATTATAACTGGACATACAGTTATCATGGAACTGATCCGAAGAACATTAAAAGTATTCTTCAATATGGTTTAAAAAAGCCCGGATCCCTCGCTGGAAATAAAATAGTCGAATCAGTGAACGGTTCGATGTACGGTACCGGCATTTACACATCAAAAGTCCCAGTGTACTCACAGCTGTATGCGCCAATGACCAGTTGGAATGGTAAATATTTTCAAACTATATTAATGGTGCGACAAAAGTCGAATGCAATTGATCCTCAAGAGGGAGAAGGCACGTATACGAACACCTTGCTCGGATGTACCGATATCCATAGGTTATATAATGGAAAGATTTCATCGGATGAAATGCAATATGTTTGCTTTGATGAAAGTTCATGTGTTCTACATGCCTTATTGATCAAAATTCACGACAACCATAATTATGAATATCGTAAAATTATCCAAATTTTAAATAACATTTAGTAAAGGTGGTTGTTCTAATTTTTTTTTTTCTTTTTTTTGAAGACCATCTCACTGATAATCATTTCTCCGACAAATGTTTGGATATAATATTATATAATTGATTGTCGGTGAACCGGTTACCGGGAAATGGTATGCCTCCCAGTAAGTCGGTAGAATGGATTGTGACTGGCGTAGTAGAAAATTTATGTGACTATAACGGGAGGAGATTTTAACACGCAAAATTAATAAACTGTATAATATGCAGTAAAAGGCATAAAATTATGCAATTAATCTCTGCAGCAATAAATTTTTAAGAACATTCCAAATCCTTCAAATTTATTATTCAGTAATTAATTGTCTTAAGGATTATCCAGTGGAGCTTGCCTGTATTTACGTGTTTTTTTTTATAAGTATTTTCTGACATAACTAATCCGTCTTATTGAGTATCACGTATTCAAAAATACAATCTTAAAAACACACTTAATAAATAATAACAATAAATTTAGTATAGTAATTAGCTACAGTATTAGACGTTATTGAAACTTGTTATGATTGTTTAACTTCTTTAAATAACGCTTAAAAGAGAATATTAAAATTTTCTTCCGCAACCGGATCCGGTTCAATTCACCGACAGTACGTTTCATCGACAAGTTTTTTTTATAAATTACACTATCCTTAACAACAATGACCAGAATTAATTTGTCGGTGAATTGATTGCCGATGAAATGAACGATATCGATTCATTCAATCCTTGGATAAAAATCAAAACCAATAACGCGTTTTTTTTTAAAAAAAGGAATAATACTGTAGGTATTATTTAAGAAATTAAGGTTATAAAAAAATTTAATTCATCAAAAACAGTAAAGTGAATATTAAAGTTTTGAATCTAGGTTTTAATATTAAACTTCTATACTAAATATGTATATAATCCATTCTTTTGAATAATTGGTACTAATTTCATTAAATAACATTTTCCTTACATAATTTTTCTTAAACATCAGAATCTTTGAAAAATATGAATAAAAACACTCCAGTAATAGATGCAATTATGGCTAAAATGCCAAATAACCAGACTAGATAAGGATCTTTTGATAATGGAACAAAAACAAATCCTAATAGTGCTCCAGCAGCTAAAGTCATTAAGTATAAAGCTGTTATTGTAGATTTAAGTCGTAATGGTGCCTAGCATATATAAATACGTATATGAAAAAGTTTATCAATCATTCATAATATAAATGGGAGAATGAATTATTATAAAAAAAAAATCACCTTATTGTAAACGTAATTAAGGCCAGTGATACATACTAAAACTGATATAAATAAATAAACGATCGTTGATTAATGACATGTTTGAATAAAAAAAAAGATATATTTATAAAAATAACATACTTTCTGAGAATGCGACTAAAATATAAGAAGGAGCTTGCCACCAAACACTAATATCGTTCGGAACTGATTTTCCGTCAATTATACAACGAGTTGCCTCAAAACATGGGCCAGTATTATAAATGATATACTGGATAATTGCCGAATATAGCATTGCAGAAGCGATTATTATGAAACCAATGGAAATACGCGTTACAGGTCGAGGATTAATACCGATGCGTCTCAAGGCGGGATAACTTTTAAAAATAGTAAAGTTCTTTTAATATATTTCAATAAAAAAAAAAATTACAATATCAAATTAAAAATAGAAATACTTACAAGATGTGATTGGCAATAGGAGTAAAAATAATCAAAGTAATGGGGTTCAAATTGTACATCATATCATTTGGTATGAAATTAACCGTCATAGTAGCAGCTTGAGATATTAAATTATTATGAATTTGCATATGACAAACCCAAAAGATAGGATATGCCAGAATAACTTTATAAGCTTTAATAGATGCTTTTATTTGATCCACGAATTCATCATCCCATTTAATTTTGTAATGTTTTGCTTCATTCGGAGAAAATTTTGACGGTTTGGCATTATCAAGATTTCTACCATGTTTAAAAGCTAACCGAAAAACATTAAATAAATCCAACAATGCAGAACTATGCGGTGGTGTTTTGATATATAAATTTCTTCCAGAAACAAAGATTATAACCGAGACGACAAAGATTATAGTAGGGATAAGGAAAGCCATCCAAAATGAATAATATTTTTCAATATAAGTTGTGACCAATGAAGAAAGAGACCCAAAGCTTAATGAAAAATAGAACCAATGGAACATTGATGAGATGGTGAGTTCTGGATCAACAATAACTCTTTTTCCGGACTTCAAAGTTTTGACATAGGGATCTTTATGAGAAAATTGATCTGCACTCATAGTAACACAATTTGTCTTCCAACAAAGATAGTTTATATTTTAATACTTTCCACGTATAAAACCCTTGTATATTCTAAAATACCTTGATTCCTCCAGTTCCGATCCCGATGATAATCATTGAGACTATAAGGCCGGGTAAAGAAGCTTTGGCTTCGATCGCGAGTGGAATTGATGTAAGCGTTAAAACAATCAGCCCAGTAACATACACTAAAGAAAAGATTAGAATTGTCTTATATCTTCCCAAGTATTGATCTGCTAGGATAGCACCCAATACAGGAACTACAAAACAAAAGAATTGAAAGAAAAGACTAAGAGATGTCGCGGTTTGTTGACCAGCGCCAATAACTCCAGGTTGACCATGTGTTTCTTTTGGAACCGGAAACTCAATGTAATTTTGAAAAGGTCCCACTGCTCCCCTTAAATTTTCGTGAAAAAATTTGATATCATTATAGTTTTGTGCAAATAATCTGCCCGGAACGAGGTTTACAAAATAGGAAAATTTTGATACCAATAGGAAAATCTTTCACAAAATTCACATATGCATATTAAAAATACGGCTACGTACATCCGTAATAATAAAAAATTAGTACAGTATAATTTTTGGATTCTAAGTTTTTAATTTATAGAGAATGAAACGATACCAGTTGGCATTTTGTCCGAAACTTTTTCTAAGGGATCCTTCTCTAGGGTGACCAATTCCTGCGGAATTGGCTGTTTTCCTTGAAAATGTGAAACACCATTTCTTTCTATTTGAACATCTTTTTCGTCAATCCCGTACAATTCAATAATTTCTTCTGCCATTTTTTTTTACTTTTTACTTTTTTTTTTTTTTCTTTATGAAAATTTATACGAAAAAAAAACTAATCTAATGCATCAAAATAGGATTTATCAATTTTTGCCATAATGATTATCGTTATGTGATGTCACATTGCATCATTGAATTTATAAATCGAATTAAATTAACATAAGTTTATGTGAAAATTTATTAAGCAATAACAATCAATTGGCCGGGCTTAAGCAAAGTGCCAATATCAGCATTTATCTAAATGTCACGTATCAATACAAGCAATAGCTTTTATGCATCGTAAAGGATAAGATATTGCGGTAAAACAGCCTATGCAAAGGTTACAAAGTGATGCATAAATTATAAATTATGATATAAAAAGTTTACATGAAATTGTTAAAAACCAACCTCTTCAGATCTAACAAAGTACGTATCTTTAAATGACTCGGGGTCAACTACATCCATCAAAAACACTGCTCGACAATCTATGTATTTTGAAGTTGTTTGATTCTGCAGAGGAATTACGCCAGTATATTCATGAGAAATATTAGCAGTTGGTGCTAGCCAGATGAATTCTTTTATAGTAATAAAAAATAAAAAATAAAAATCAATTAGATTTTATCTCGAGAATTGTAGTTAAATTTGAACGTTCTGACATTTACTAGTTTTAAGACTAAAGATGAATGCTGCAATTAAACTTTAGGGATGGTCTGCCAGAAAAAATATCAGGTCTCATGATTTCTGACGATTTGACCGATCGGAATAATTAACCCGGTATCAATTATTATCATAAAAAAATACCGAACTCGGAAATCACGGAATTTTTTCTGACAGGACCACAGTTAAACTGCTGACTAATGGGTCCGGTTAATGCCGTATCCGGAGTGTTTTTTGGTGAGGGTAAAAATAATTAATGTCATCATAAAGCAGAATTTTATAACCCTAATATAGTTTCTGAATATAAGTCTACGTACAAGCCAACAACATCTTATGACCAAAATTTTTCATTAATTGCAGCCCATCCCTACACGTGACATTCAAACAAGCCATATCGATATTTACTTCCGATTCCACAAGTTTTCGCCAATGACATCCGAGGTCCGTTACGAACAATTCCACAAGCACTGCATTCTGCATTTTTGCACAACATATCTACACTATTCAATTTTTTAATATCACAAGAATGTTTTGTTCCATGATATAATTGTAAGACCTTCGCATCAACTCCCCGGTTTTTCTTAAACTCTTGGTGCTTTTTAATAATATATTCCGGCATATTGATTTTAATAATCGAATAGATGGTAATCTTCCAGTATGGAAAATGTGATTTAAAAGAAGAAGAAAGGTTCATATATTCTGGAGAAGTGAATGAAAGAGGTATTAATTGGGTCATCATACGAAAGATATCGATATGTATATAGAATCTGTTTATCGTTATTTATTTATTTATTATTTGTAATATATAATTTTCTATGAATCTTATGCGGTACTATGATTTACTATCATCAGATATATTTAGCCGCAGTTGACGGACTTTCATCGTTACGTATTCCTAATTTATTTACAAATGAGTGTTTGTGAAAGGAAATGTGAAAATAATATGATCGATCACTTGACCATTTATCATCATTTATAAATCTTTTGTGATCAAATTCAAAATCTTAAAAAAAATAAGCCGTTTCCAATTTTTTCGTGTCAACGAATATTAAAATATCAATAAGCCTCTGATGGCTTTTCCTCCTTCATTAACGCAATATATCAAAGCGTTCTACAAATTTTTTGGTAGTCAATCACAAAACTTTGATCTTCTGGAGGATATCACTACTCCGAATAACATTCATCCACAACTTGATGACGAATGTCTTAAGGAAGTTTTCAAATACTTCAAAGATAATACAAGAACTTTACATTCATGCGCTTCAGTAAGTCGTAAATGGTGTGAACAAGCTATTCCTTTACTTTGGGAAGATCCATTCTGTATATTCTACAAGAATGATACTTTAGTTCAAACATACATATCATGCCTTCCCGAGGAGAGACGAACTTATTTAGGCGAAAATGGACTTTTTATTCCAAAACTTTCAAATCCAAAGTACAATTATCCAAGTTATTTAAGGAAACTTGATTATCGAAAGTTAAATTTAGCGATTTCAAGATGGCTTACAAACAATAAGAACAGAGTTGATCCTGAAATTATATGCCTTGTTTCCCAAGAATTTACCAAACTTATAGCTAATCAGTCTAAAGAATTACATTTTTTGAGAGTATCTAAAGGTCCAGATAATATTAATGTACCAAATTTTAATATTTGTACCGGTTTTGAAGAGTTAGTTTCTGGACTTCAAACTTTTCAAATATCTGGAATTTTCAAAGAGGAACATGAAATTAACAACATTGCTTATTTAACTTCAATTATTTCTAAGAAATGTCGAAATATTGAACATTTACATATAAATCTTTCATGTTCTTATGAATCAAGAATACAACAAAATCTGGTAAACATACTAGGCTCTCAAATACAACTTCGAAATTTTGAATGTTATGTTAAAAATACTGCATACTTTCTTTTAAAGCTTTCTCGTCAAACAGAAAATTTGGTTGAATTATCTTTGGGAGGAATTGAATATAATAGCATATCGATCTTATATCCATTAATATCTTGTACTAATTTAGAGAAACTAAAAATTTTCAATTATTATGATGACACAAAATATCACAAAACCTATATAGAATCAAGTCGTTATCACAATCTTCGTATTAGCGAATTGCATTTAATAGGAGCTTCTGTTAACGAGTTATTCTTTGAATATTTAGTCAGAATGGTACGAAGTTCTTTGAAGAAATTAGTTTTAGACAAAATCGGGGACGAGAAAATTTTATCTATAATACTGAAATGTCCATATTTAACACACTTGGCTTTATCTATCAGACCAGATTCACCAAATCTTTCACGACTTGCAAAATTAAATCTAGAACATTTGATTCTTAATGATTCAACCCCAGATCGATTGGATCATTATATTTTAAATAATATAGAGAGTTTTCCCGATACACTTCGTCATCTCGATCTTCTTATGTGCATTTCCCCCGATATTTTACAATATATTTTGACAAAATGTAAATACCTTGAAACTCTTGGTATATATTTACAACTTCCAAAAGATGATTCTAAATATATCAAAGTTATTATTAGATATGCTCAATCATCTGGTAGTTTTAGTACGTTGAGATATATTAGAAATTGTTCGGGTCAAAAACTAATTCCACTTTCTAAAACATTATGTGGATATGCACAAATGTACATAGAAAATATTGTAAATGAAATTTATCATCCTTGGGAATAAGATTCATTTGGTGGTGGTGTATAGAGACTAGTTGTTTTCGTATTTACATTTTCATATACATATATGTATTGATATTATTTCCGTCTAAAAAGACGTTTTTAATATCTACGTGTTTATTCTAAAATGAAGGTACTCTACGATTCATTATATTAACTTTATGAAATTAGCTCCGATTTATTCAAAATCAAATATTAACAAAAATATTATTTAGCTTTTTTCCGATACAACCATCTAGTATTATTTGATTAAAAAATTTTTTTCTAATAAAAAATATGTAAAAAATAACTTTTACCAATGCCAGAAATTCAATAACTACATTTTTTTAGATACAACATTTTTTACCTTACCATCCTTCATACTTTTTTTCTTTCCCCATTTATTTCTACCATCATAAATTCCCAATTTTTTTTCCAACACTCGCCTTCCAACTTGCCCGGGTAAAACATTAACACCTTTCCATTTTCTGGCTAATAATTCTTTAACCCTAGTCCTTGGAGTTCCTTCATCAAAATAGCACAATTCCATTATTTTACTTTCCGCAAATTCATCTTCACTTTCAATTGTTTTTTGTCGAAGTAATTGAAAATCCTCAATTTTTGGGACTTGTGTGGTTGAAAGCTTTTGTAAGAGTTTTATAGCTCCCCAAATGTCATCACATCTTTTAAAATAAAAAAAATTTTGATATGGTTGGTACAAACTTGAGCGATAATTATAAATCAATCAAAAAATTTTATTAAATGTTACCTTGCCAAAATATGAATCATCTCTTTATAAACATTATACTCTAACTCTTTGGTCATACCAAGTCTTCTAAATTCTTTCAATTGTTCAAGTTCATTCAATCCATTCATCTCATCCATTCTATCTTTCCACCAAGTTTTCCAATCTTGCCAAATACTCCAAGCTTCTTCTATTTTCTTGTGTTTATAACATAATCTCAACATCGTCATAAATATCCAACTATTTAATTCTATGTTGTATTTTGGTATAACATTCTGATAAAGGTCCAAAGTTCTGTGAAAAAATGCATTCTTCTCAAATACAGATAAATATGAATTAAATAATATTGGTGTTATACGTGAAAATTTTGTGGTTGGTAAGGATATAGGATCGGAAGATTCAATAATGGAAAGAATGTATTTAAATAAAATTGTTGATTCCACAAGAATTTGTTTTTGTGTTGTTGGAAGATTTGGTAATAATGGATAGATATCAGATCCAATAACTAGTAAATGATTTTGATACTTTGATAACATATTCTCAGTGCTGGTTTCTACCAAATTTTCAGTGTTAATTATTTCTTCTGCAGAAAATACATGAGGATCGTCGTCATTATCATCACATTGACTACTTTCAATTTGATTTTTGTTATCCTCTTCCACAGTAGGCATAGATAAAGTATTACGTGAAGATTCTTTATTTTCCTGTCTTGGTTGTTTTACAGGCTGATTAGAAATTTTATGAGAAGAATATACCAAAAATAAATTTGAAAATGTAGCCATATTAGGTGTCAACGATGGGTTCTGTCGAGCACTTGTAAAAAAAAATAAAATTGAGTAAATTTTTTTTCCTAAAAATAATCTTTAATAAATCAGAATGGTTATGAATCAAACCTTTGCATCATTGATATCAACAATTTTCTAGCAGTATATATATCACCCTTATGCGCACATGCATACATTAATGAATTATATGTGTACAAGTCAGGAAGGTACCCATGTTCATTCATGTCTTCTAAAACTTTGAATGTTTCTTCATAATAATGTAAAATATTCAAGTAAATTTATTAAGAACATAAATATTAAAGTGTAAATGTAAATGACGCGAAAATATAGTTTAAAGGATATCTTTACGACGCGCACAAGCATCAATTAAAGAATTAAATGTTACATCAGTTGGAGATAATCCTTTTTCTGTCATCTCTTGATACAAATCAAAAGCTCGTTCTACATCTCTCATCTAGTATTTTATTAAGAATCATTTATTTATACGTAAGCAAGTGTAAAATAAATCTATAAATAATTTACTTACCTTAGCACAAATATGAATCATTAGACTATAAGTCACTTCATCAGGTTGGCAAATTTCTAGTCGCATATAATCAAAAGTTTTCCAAGCACGTGCTACCTCTCGATTTTTTATGCACCCTTTGATTAGCATTGAGAAAATTGGCTACAAGAAAAGTATAAGATGTATGAAAAAAAGAACTTTCGGCAAAATAATAATAATAATAATGTGATGATAAGAATAAACGTAGGAATAAATCAATCTTATACTTGAAATTTACTTGATTAGGCATTATCTTAGCGGCCTTCATTTTGGAATAGACATTGAAGGCTTCATCAATTTGTAGATTATTTACATAGGCTTTAATTAAATTTGCAAAACTGTATACTGTTTGCTCAAGCCCAGCTAAAAAGAAAGTAACAAAGTAATATTAAATATCAAAGAAAGATAATACACCTCTTTTTACATTTAATTGAAAATTTTGTTTTTAATTTTTACCATTTTCGATCATATCAAATGCAGACAAAGCATTTGTGACATCACCCACACTGGAATAAACATTTATTAGTTGTTCATAGGTAAAAATATTTGGAGTTAATCCTGCATCCTAAATAAAAAATTGGTATAAGAAATTTAATGAAATAAAAATTTTTTTTAACATATCTTACAAACCTTTATTTTTTGTAATGTCAATTCTGCCAATTTTACATTCTTTTTTAAAGCCTGAGTGAGTAATTTAATTAATAAATTATTAAATCTTTTATAAATAATACAAATAATACAAATAATATAAATAATATGAAATACTTACACAAGCATACATAACATTATTATAATGCTGTAAACCTAAAAAAACCTTTTCCGGTGTATCCATCAAAGGTATAATATCATTTTCTAAAGATTCTTTAATTAATTTAGCAGATGGTAATTCTGATAAAGGCAGTTGTCGGCTTTCTCGAGAATTTGGAGTTAATAATGCTAATTTATCAATTATGCCACCAGGAGATAGCTTGTTAGGTATACGTGCAGGAAGTGGAGTAGATAGATTTTCGTAAATTTTTGAAAGTTCATCATCTGAAAATGATGGTGATTCACTAGTCTAGTAATGAAAAAAAAGGATAAAATAAATTGAATTTGAAATCGAATTTCATTGGAAATTAAATTTAATTTGAACAAACTTCTGGAAATGACTGTTTATCGAATCCAGATAATTTTTGCTTTAAATCTTTTATTTCTTTTTCTACTTTTAGTGTCATTTTCTTAATGTTAATTTTATTACTAGAAACAATATGATTTAAATAAGTAAAGGAATGAAAATGTTTCCAATAATCATGATATGAAGTCGAGACCTTCGTTTTTTATTAATGCTATTATACCATCGGGTATTATAGCAATATAATGAATATGTATATGTTTTTTGTTCAAATATTATGTTTGAACATCGAAATAAAAGTAGCGAATTAACACCAAGAAATTTAACTTTCGAAAACATTGTGAAAGATGAAGATAATTTCGAGAATTGCATGATAGTGTTAAAATTTATTTGTGAGACGGGGCACAAGTATAAAGTGCCATTTTTCCGAATACGATCTGTGTAACATTTCTGTTTTCACCTTCAAAAACATACGTAAACGTTGTGCATTAAACCATAACTGATAACATTAACTAACTCAATAACGATAAGATGTCTAAATCTAATGATATTCGCAAATATTTTGAAAAGAGTCCTGCAGATTGGAATATTGTGAATGCGACACTGAACCATTTGACGCGAAAGTAGACGGATAGACAAAAAGTCTCGAGAGAAAAAATGGCGTGAACGGAGGCTTTCTAGGTTGCCGGTCATTCAAAGTTTTTAGCTGAGCCACGAAACTGGTACTGGCGCGCGGATGACTTTCTAGGTTATCTGATGCAAATGGTTTCTAGCTGATCCAGTACCGGACCCATTGGAACACAGTTGGCTTTTTAGGTAGGCTGATGTTCTGGTGGGATTTAAAATGTGAATCAAAGAATTGTTACTTTCATACGAGGATCCTGACCGTAAAAAAGCAGTGAATAGGATAAGCGCCTGAGAAAACAGATCAACTTTCACCAATCAATTAATGAAAATTTAATTGGGCCTATAATAAATGGAGGGATAGTCGGAAGTGTGGCTAGTAAAGTCTTTGATGCAGAATTAATGTTGTTATACGAAACTAGAGGCTTCATCTTTCGTCAAAAAAATTTAAAAATACAAATTGATGAAACTACGAAACTGTTTGACCAATAAAATTTAATAAAAATTTATGCAACATAAAAACCCTAAAGTCATCCTAACCTTATTATTGGTCAATTCAGGTAGTGATGAATTTCTGTCAGCAGCAAGTTAAAATGTACATCACAGATAATGTAACGGGTTTTACAGTCGAGTTCAGAGATGGGGCAAATGCGACGTTCCTCAAGGATAATAGAGGCGGATTTACGATTTGGCACTGGTCGAGGCGATCGATGAGGAGCGTTACAAGATGAATATTACGATTCTAAAAGAGCGTTGGTTTATTTTACAAGTTAAAAAGGGCTTTATTAACTTTATTATTTTTGTAGGGGTAATACAATTATAGGACGGTATCATTATACTAATCTGGGCGGTTCTGAACTCTTGGACGATTCTGAACTCTACTGAACTCTTGGAAGGGGGAAATTCCACCCTTTTTATAATGAATTGAACGCAAGAAGAGCCCGCACAAGACCACGACTCTTCTCACTATTCCCAACACTTCCCAACCTTATTTGTTATGACCTTTAACCCCTTCCACACAGCCTTTCGTTACTTTAACATTTCTCACGGCTGTCATAGAACCGATGAGAAATGTTTCAGTTTCACTATCCCGGGGCCAGAACCCATCGTATTGTCTTCAATCGCACCCCCTTGACATCGCCTCACACCTAACCCAAGTAATGTAAGTGGAGTCAACGTCCATTCCTAGCGCAAAAGGTGGATTTACTTATTTTTGCGAGTGATACAAACCCAAAAAAGGAAATTCGATACAAAAATAAACTAAGTACGTGTCAATTGAAATTTAGGGTTAGGGTGTTAGAGTTCAGGGCTATAGTAATAGAATATTGCGTATTATATTGGGGTTTGCGATATACTAATTAATCAAATCTATATCAGGTATAATAGTAAAAATTGATAGTACAGATTTTTTCAATAATACCATTGCTATTTAGCCAATAAAAATTGTGCGCAGAGTGTCTCTTATTACTTATCGAATAGGATTGCAAGGTCTGTGTGTAACAAAGAAATTTTTCAGATTAAATTGATTATCGCTGTTATAAAATAAATTTTGTTGCAAAACCTGACGAAAGACGAACTTCTAGTGAAAGTCGAAACCTCCAGCGAAAGGCAAACTACTGGCAAAGGTCAAACTTTTATTAAAGTCTGAATTCTCTCAGTCTTCAAATTTTATTTGAGTCCACTTATTTATAATCGTGATTTAATTTTAATTAAACCTCGTTAAAAGAACACTGATTTACATGGATTGAGAAGTAAAAGTATTGACTTATAATTATAAATATTTACATTGATATTAATGAACGTTATAAAAAATTATTTTAGAAAATTAGCGGTGTGTAAATAATTCCTTAAAAAGATCATCAGCAACCTGCTCATTTCGTCTATCCAACTGAAAAAGAAAAGTGGTAGAATTTTGTTTGTAAATGATTCTATTTTCATTTCGAATTTCTTTTAATTGTTTATGATCGAATTGATATTCTTTTATTCCAGTTGCTAAAAGATGCATCCTGGACTGTTGAGTGTTATTAGTCATATTTGGATGAGTTTTTAAGTCCCATTTGTTAAATAAGCCCTCTATCTGTTGTTAATGAACAATAATATATCAGATTTTGTTTTTAACAAAATCATAGAGTTGTGGATATTGATGTAGGTGAGCATTTGATTCTCTAACAAATGCATTGAATTCTTGAAAAAAGGATTCGTCAGATAGGGCAGCTTTAAACCCAAAATCATCAAACTGGTTTTGTTTTATATCTGTTTCAAGAAATCGTACATAACTAATTTCTTTTAAAGTAGGAAACCTAGGTCAGGGTTTTTCAAACACAATGTGCCAATAACTGCGTGCAAATTGTTATGCATAATCTTTGTCAAGATGACACATACTTAAAAAAAGATGGAGCCAGCAAGTTAAGCATTTTTAGTGTAGTTCAAGTCCTTTTTGTACTCCAGTTTCCAATTTTTGAACTAACGATTCAATTTTTGAATCATCCAAAATTTTTGCACTTTGTAAAAGTTTGTTACCAAAAAATGAATAAAGATTTTCCATGATGTTTATGAGCTTATATGTTGAATTAGTGATGAAATCTGGCATTTGATATGCATGATGACCTGGAGGCAAGCATTGTAATGAATTATCAGGCTGCAAAACCTTTAATTGAGGATCGTAACCAACAAGAAATTCTGAAAACGGATGGTAAAATTCTTGTCCGAATTTAACTAAACATTGAACCTTAATATTTAATTCGAAATCATTTAGCCAATTTTGAAATAGTTCCCACTTTTGAATATAAGATTTTGGAATTTTTTTTAAAGTTTTAAGTTTTGGAAGGAACCATGAAATGAATTCGATATGAATTTTACGTCTCTCAAGGTATTGTTCTGCCGTAATTAATTCATATTGTCATTATGATTGTAGGGGATATTGATATTTAGTTAACTTATAATTAAGCCATGCCTTATAAAGACTTTGAATTGTTTCACTTCTCATATTTAGTGGCAGATCCTTAGCACTTTGGTCATATCCATTATGCAACATCCATGTCAGATAGAGAAGATTAAACGGATAGTGTGTCTTTGAAAACCCGATACTTGTTGGAAGTCTACCAAAAGCCATCTCTTCGAAATTATTCAAAATCAAATGCAACATGTATAATCCACAGGGAATTCAAACACAATGACTTTGGGCTAATTGGTTAAATTTTGTTACAGCACCTCTGACATGACTGCTCATATAATTTGTATTATTCAAAAGAAAAGTAAGACATCGTGAAGAATCAAGTTTATATTTTATACAAGATTTAAAAAGAGCTTGACTAACTGTATTAGAATTGCACTGCTGAAGATCCTTTGTTTCTAAAAGTATGATGTTGGGTATATTTTTTTCAGAATTCCAAAACATAAACATTCCATTAATATTTTTTTTTCACCATGACCCGATTTATTTGCCATGATTCTGAAAGCAAAATGAGTTGACCTATTGGCTTGCTGAAATGCATTCCTTATATTCAACTCTAATACTTTATGATGCCAATGACTAACAGTATTTACACTAAGTCATGACTCTGTGTTATTTCCTGTTAAAAAATTAAAAACAGTCTTGATACTTTCTGCTGCCGTATTGAAAGATATTTGACCAATTTGAGAAACTTGAATGGTAAGCTTAACAAAATCTGTATTGTATTCTTTTTTATTTTGTTTTATTAAATTTCTAATTATGGTTCTCAAATCATTGTCTTTTAATTCTGATCGACGTTTGGCTACTGCACGAACCTGAGAGATGTGATGATGATGTTTATGCTTAAGCTATATGACAGAACCATTAAGTTGTTAAACTTTATGGGTCATACAGTCTTTAGATTTTTGTAATTTTTTAATGCTTTTTTTAAGTTGTTTGTTTTGATTATTTAATAACTCATGGGAATTTCCAGGTTTATAAAGGGAATTAGATATATAATTAAATGCTTTTTTTTGCAAGTAAGGTGATATAATTCGATCTTTGTTTTTTCCATATGAGTATTTTATTGTATGTAAAAAATGAGATACTAATTTGAGATCGTTTTCGGGCATGTCCTTAAGAGTATTAGTTATCATATTATATATGCTAGGAGGATTGGAATTAGCAACATTCGAGACATCAGAGGTTGTATTATGCATGATTTTAAGTTCCTGTTTATTTGAATTATTCATATTATTCATTGTTTCATTAACGCTTTCTTGGCACTGATTTAGCTTGCGCTTTCTGGCCAGCAAGTCTTGAACTTTTTTTAAATGAAGTTTATGTTTTGAAGGTTTGGGCATTGTGAATAAGATATGAAATTTTTCTTCAAAGTTAAATTTGATATGCTTTTAAATTTAATTTACAAAAGCTAATTCGAAACAATCATTTATTTTATTTAGTTAGAATGCATACAACGAACAAAAACAATGTGATGAAAAACATTTAAAATATGCCAAATGCTTATTTTTTAGATAGAATGTATAATGATAACAAAAGGCAGAATCATAAAAAGGCTTGGTATTAAAATTTGCTTGAAGACTACAAGCTTGATTTTAGTTACAAAGCCAATTCATAACAAACAATTGCTCATGTTGGTAGTTAGATTATAAATCAAAACTAATAAAAAGGTTTAACATCAAAATTAGTTCGATTTCTAGCTAATTTATAACAAACGCTCAGTTTTTTGTTAGATCGCACAGTGCATAATGGTAAAAAATGCAAGGGGCATTCACTGATGCTTATTAATTATACCCTAACTTTTGTAATTGTCATCTTGGCAGGTTACTTTAAACTGATAGGCCAAACAAGAAGTAAACTCAAAATTTTAACCATATATTGACCTATTTATCCCTTATGATGATTAGTTCCAAAGCCTACAAATTTAATATTATTTAAATTAGGAAGGTTAGAGCAATATAACCAGTCTGACAAGTTTGCAAAGATATAGTTTATAATTTTTAATCTATTAAAAATCAATTTTCACACTTATTTAAAGTTTTATTATTTGAATCAATTTCTAATGATTTATTTAAATCTGCAAGTGATTCTTCATATTTGCCAAGTTGATAATAATATTTTCACGAATATTCAAAGCTATTATACATTTGCATCAATTTCTAATGATTTATTTAAATATATAATTGTTCTTCATATCTTTCAAACTGATAATAAGCTGTTGCATTATTTGAATCAATTTCTAAAGATTTATTTAAATCTGCAAGTGATTCTTCATATTTGTGCATAGATTGATAAATTAATTTTCAAATACTTAAAGTTATTGCATTATTTGTATCAATTCTAATAGTATCACCCACCAAAAAAATGTAGTACATTATAACTAACACTTGATAAAATTTTAATAGTCAAAATACTTATTACTATGAATAACTAATTCATGAAATAGCTGCATTTTTTTGTGAACAATACTATGTTCATACTTGTACATGTGACTGAAATTGACAGGTCACATGTTGATCAAGTAATTCGAACAAAAATTGCCTCAATGTGTAAAAAATGCCTAATTAATCAAAAATCTCAAACTATATCTTCTTTTTACTATATTATATAAATCATTTACTACAAGAATTGTCAAAAAAGAATAATTTGTGTACAAAGTGAATTAATTTTTTTTAATATTTACTAGTCTTTCGTTAATTCAGCTAATGCATAGTAAAAAGATGCTTAATTAATCAGAAATTTTAAACTATAGCTTTTTTTTGTTGTATTATGCCAATAATTTACTATAAAAATTACTGAGAAAAAATTGGTTGTACTCAAGATGAATCAATTTTTTGGATACTAGTTGTTCGTTAGTAAAAGTTTGCAGATCGATTTTATGCACAAATCTAATAGTATTATTTTTATTATTGCATCTCACATGGTTTTGATTAATTAGTATATCACAAACCCCAGTATTATATGTAAAATTCTATTTCCAACATTTTTAATTAGTGTATTAAGGTCGATTAAAACATTAGTTTTCGAGTATTTTTGCTTTTTTGCCTTTTTTCTTTTTTCACACATGTTCAGATTTCATGTCAGGCTGATCCAGGATAATCAAAATTTACGCTCTTCGATTGGCTAACTTCCTTTTTTGGGCTTGTATCACTTGCACAAATAAGTGCACATGCAAAAGGTTAGTCCAGGTCAACCTTACTTTAATTGAAGGGTCCTGCATGGAGGCTTGTGTACTGTTATATGGCTTCTTTAGGCCAGGCACACATGTTTCAGATGGATCATCATGTGCACCTCTAATTAGGTAAGTATGCCACAATGACATCCATTTCACAGATCCTATGGGGTGTCAGTTTTACCTCTGACAATAGTTATATTATTACTACTGCTTAAATATAATTAATTGCAATATCAAAAAGCTTATTCTTTTTTATATTTACACTAATAATTTAAATTAAATTTTCTTTAGTATAGATGAGCTAACTCTGCTAACTTTGCAACTTCATTATTAAAAATTAACATTTACTAATCATTAGTAAAGCTTATTTTTTATTTTATTTATATATATAGGCTGTATCATCACTTATAATACATCATATTTTATAAAATAAATTAAAAAGCTTATTAATAATATTAAATCTAATGACTGTTATTTTAAACTATACTTTT